GTAGGAGCTTTCACTAAGCTATATTCTGTAGCAATAAAACACTGAGTCAGGTATGCAGTCCTGATTTTGAGAGGAGAAGCAATTCTTACTTTTCTTCTGCTCTGAAAGAGTTTATTTATGCTAAGAGCAAAGCACGGATGTTTGGTAAGTGCAGAATGCTTGATGAAAACAATACTTTGTTTGGGAATACTTTGAATCCCAGACAATAAAAAAACTCCCACCTTTCAGAAGGTTGGGGGGGGGGGTTGACATTAAGCTGCTATGGTTACACAATGGAAAAGTGCTTCTCTTTTTTACAAATAGTGTTTATTTCAGATTATTTCTCAGGATGAGGCAGACAGAAGAGGAAAAGTGTATGACAAATACATGTGCAGCTTTCTGTTTAACTTGAATAATGGTACGTATGCATTAGTTGCAACCCTTGGCAGAGTAAGTAAAGCATTCATGCTCAGCATTTTGTTCAGCCCTGTTCTTCGGCAGACAGCAGGCAACAATGAGAATTTTTTTAAACACATCTTTCCCTATCAGTGTATGCGTTCATCCTGTTGATAGTCTTTAGGGTGACTAAAGAATGTAAAAGGCTTGCCAGATGTTGTCTGAAGTAATTTTACTGAATTAAATTAGCAGTAAGTTATGATGGTAATTGTATTGGGGGAGAAAAAAGCCACGGATATGTGGTATGTGGCTGCTGCCACTAGAAGAGAAAAATATAGACTGCACTGTGTCAAGCATCAAAATACTAGAAAATACTGGAAATAAGGAAAAAAACCTGCTGCTTTAAGTCAGTGTTGACTTAGCATATTCATGGAGCTTGTTCTTGTAGAATAAAGGTAGAGAAGCTTCAATGAAAAGCTAAGGTGGTGCCACTGTGGCAGGAGGTAAAGGAAAAGCACAGTGTGGAACAGAGTTCAGTTGTTGTAGGGTGGTGAGCCAGCTCTTCCATGGGGGAAGCTGAGCCGTTATCTTCTCTAGCTGCTAAGATCCAAGCATACTAGGTATTAAAAGTAAAAAATCATTCGTGGGTTTTGTTGTTTTTTCTGCTCCCTGCAGATTTTGTGGTTGATGCAACACGCAAGGGCAACAAAATTAGATTTGCAAACCATTCAGTAAATCCCAACTGCTATGCAAAAGGTAAGTTTCACACTTACTTGCTTTTCATCAACGTATGAAATACTGTGAGGTATTTCTTTAGCATGCATTTTATCAGTATTTGTACTAACATATCTAATTTCTTTTAAAACAGTTATGATGGTTAATGGTGATCACAGAATAGGAATATTTGCTAAAAGAGCCATTCAGACTGGTGAAGAACTGTTCTTTGACTACAGGTGGGTAGATGGATTTCAGATGGGATTAGCTTTCACTATCTGAGCAACTCAAGAGTTAATTCCTGTGTCTGCCTGGTCCCTGCAACCTAATGTCTCAGTAGCTGAGAAGCAGCATTCCCCACACTGGTTTTGTTAAGCCAGATGCCACAGCAAGACTGATTTGTGTAAAGCAGCTGGTGAAGACCCTGCAAACTTGGAACAGCAGCTCACATAGAGCAAAATATAGTGACAAATGGGAACAACACTTTCTCTGGTTGGGTTCCGTAGGTACAAGTTAACTCCCTCATCATTCAGAAATAGGCAAGAATTTCAGAGAATTAATTCCTACAGACAAATGCTTGTTTGAACGTGTCCTTACTTTCCTCTACAATCATCTCACTTGACTTACTTGAAAAAGTAAGCTGTCCAGTGGCAATGTGTAGGTGAACCTTGAGAAATGCAGTTGTTTTCCAGTACTGAAAATGAACTTCAGAACTGTGAGATTCAAGGTGAAAAAGTAAGGAATTTTAGTGATTTGTCTCCTCTTGATCAAACACCTCTGAAAGCAGACTTCCCATCGTTTCCTCACCAGCTGGTGAATTTGCAGGTTCATAACACTGCTGACATACTCAAGAAACTAAGTATGAGAGTATTCCAGGCTGTGGTGCCATTCTGTCAGAATGATGAAGCTGAAACATTCCATCATACTGGGTTTTTTTTGTGATTCTGCTTTTTTTTTTAAATTTCAGATATAGCCAAGCTGATGCCCTTAAGTATGTGGGCATTGAAAGAGAAATGGAAATCCCTTGACACCAGCTACCTCTTCTTTTAAACAAACAGCTGCCTTATCTTCAGGAATTTCTAGTACTGTGGGCAATTTTAGAAAAATAAAAATGATGCAATTTGAAATTCTGTATTTGCAAAGTACTGTAACAGTAATTTATAGTAACAAATTTTTAAAAAAACAACTTTTTATTGCCTTCTCACCAGCTGCAAAGTGTTTTGTACCTATGAACTTTTGCAATAATGTGGTGTGGTACATTTTTCAAGAATTTTCCTTGAATAAAGGATACTTGAACTTCCTCATTTTTACTGGAATTGAGTTGAAATTTTGTCTCACCCCCTTGAGAAAGCAATGTGAATTTAACGTGTAACTTCTGTCCAAAAGCAGCTCCATACTTGTCTCCTGTTACTGTTACTTTGGGTCACATTTAAGATCAGCCTGAAATTGTAAACAGTGTAGATGTCTGTCAGGTGATTGTGGTGCTGCAGTGCCTAAGTGAGGACAGATGTGGTCTTGCAGCTTCTCAGCTCCCTTGGCATGCAGCTACATCCGTATTCTCTGGGGTAATGGCTGCAACCCAGAAACGCCTACAATTGCTAGAATAGCTGTGATTTCTGTGACAAACACGACTTTCAAGACAAAACTGTGGTACAAGGTGCCCTCACTGTGGCTCTTCTGAAGTACCCAACTGAATGATGAATACAACAGTAATTACACATATATTAAAAAAATAAATTTCTATTCTGCCTCTCTTATAGTTTTCATCCAGAATCATTTAGATTGCAGCTCATGTCTATACAGGGCTACCACATTTATTTCTTACCTGCTAGTAGATTGTGAACTCAGCAGCCTCCTCTGAAGTAGAACACAACGCTCTGGTCAAACCAGCTGGAGTGGGAGGGCAGGCACAGGGTGGCACTATTGCCAAACTGAGCCCATGAAGTCTTGTCCATGGTGACCATTTATTTACCTGCTGCACTGAGTGGGCTCCAAGCCTAGGGCAGAGTTTTCAGCTCTTCCTGCTTCCATACTATGTACAGCAGGCAGCTGTCTCGTGCCCTCCACCTTGGTGGTGGCCCAAGTAAGAACTTAGTTCATGAGGAAAAGAACAGTCCAAAAGTAAAAACCTGGTTTTCTCCCTCCTCGGGTAGAGCACAGCTCCTGGTCTGAAGCTGGATGCACAGTACACAAAGCAGTGCTTTAACCAGCCCAGGGCTTTGAAAGGCAGCTCAGAGCAGATGATTTCTGGCCTTCCAGCTAAGAAAGGAATTCAGGCTGCTTCTCTGTCATCACAGCACATGCATCCTACTAAAAACTCTATGAGCCCTGAACTTTCTGCAAAGAAGGTTTACAAAAACAAAACAGCATCTCAGAAAAAGATTAAAAATTTAAGAGGCATCAACCAGCTCCACTCTAAATTTCCAAAAGCAACTTCAAAACTGAGCAGCAAGATGCTTCTATTGCCCCTAATGGCAGTCTTTCAGAACAGAAATAGCAAGCATACACAATCTCAAGTGCAGATGACACCCCTCCCTTTTTCCAAATCAGTTTGGATCACATCTAGTACAGCTCCATAATATTTTTTTTAAACCCAGAGTTCAACTGTAACCATTAACTTCCATTAAGAGAGAAACATTAGCAATACAAAACCTAGCTCCTTTCCTGCAAGAAGAAACACTGAATAAATCACAATTTCCATTAAGGGTAAAATAGCTACAGGACTTAAGTACTTTTCATGATCAAGATTAGAAAATATATAGATTACCAAAAATGAGACCTGTGAGGATGGCAACATTTTGCTTGTAGCATGTGAAAAGCCAATACTCATTTCATAAAATGTTGTGAGAAGAACAGAATGAGGCCTGGTCAATTAAGGTATGTGTAGTAAGGCTTCAGAGTATTTTAATTCCCACCACAAGTTTAATTTAATGGGAACTGTTCTTCAGGAACGCACTCCTCCAGTCAAAGAAATGGGGAGCCTAAACGTCCTTTATTCTAGGCAGCATTTATGCAGGTGTGATGGACATTATAGCACAGTAAAGAATATTAAAACCAGCTCCTATTTCAGATGACCAAACATTGCCAATATATTCTGAGTGTCTTCTGTTCTGCATATCTTGTGAAATCATCACAAATTTATTTTCAAAGCGCAGACAATTCCTCTTCAAAAAGAAATAACATGCACAGATAATGACAGATGACAATATCTTCAGAGCACAAAATGTTCTTAAAGCACTAGAAAATGGGGAGGAAAAGCAAAATGAATTTCTAATAGCTTTCGTAACCATTATACCTTTTAATTACATTTAGAAAGATAAGTCATGAAACTTAATAAAACCAAATGCAACTTGTACAGAAATCTTTTAATTTTTTTTTATTATTTATCACACATTAAAAAATGAAACACACTATACAAATGCTTTTTCATAGCAGATTACACGAGTCCATTCAGACTTGCTCTCCAAGTGCTGCCAACATGTGTAAGTGTTGCCTGTGATGGCAGCTGTTCATCATATAGCCAATGTATTGATTTAAATGCAGTAGCATGCAACCCTTAAATGAGAAGGGTCTGATTCCTTTCTGTTCTTAAATTAGGTTAAATGGCATTGGTGTCCATATTTACATACTTGAAATGTATCAATCCTGAGCAGTTCTGATGTAAATCTGAGACTGGTTGATGGAGTCCTGGCCCCAGTCATTAAAAAGAGAGGTCCAAATGGCAGCAGGGTGGCTGCTATGAAGTTCTGTCACTTTCATTCTTTCCATCACACACCTACTTGCCGAGTGTCACACAGTCAGGTAATTGCTAATAAAAATGTTAAGCCAAGTAACTGTAGGTGTCCTTCTCACCATCTACACGTTCCAAGTACTCCTTCTCAATGAGGATGTCAATGCATTTCTGTGGGAGGAACAGAATAGAGGTAAGCAGTGGGACACAGGCGTAAAAGCCCTCTCTGGGGTTGCTCCAAACTTTGATTTTGACCCCTGAGGGACTTCTCTGCCAAGCAGAGGACAGGAGTAGGTAAAGGACACAAACCACAGCAGTTCACTCTCCTCTTTCTGACCACATCCAAGCAGAAGGCTTTGCTTATCCACTAAACTGAATTACACTTACTGGATGCCATTCCAGGGGTGTGACTAGAAGATCTTCACAGCTGAGCAACTTCATAGTAAGACAGCAAATATAGGATTACAGCAAGATGCAGAGAGCGTATTTAAGGCCATGAAAGACAGCAGCAGTGAGGAGCTGCCTGTATCACTGCCCTGCACCAGTGCCAGTTTATGCAACTGGTCTTGTCCTTTGCCCCACCTACCCCTTGGTTGTGGATGTAAAAACTGCTGGTGAGCTCACTTAAACAAACTGATGAATATATTAATATACATAAATTAATAATTAATATAATCAATATAATTATGAGTAAATACTTAAATACAATGCCCCCCATTGCAACATTTTTACTGTAAAGGAAAGCAGGAAACTTTTATCAAGCCAACCCCAAGGATGATTGTCATCCCACAACTGGGAGAGCAGGAACAAAAGGTAAGCCTGGACCAAGGGCTCTGGTAAGTTGACACTGATGTGAAAAGATGCAATCCAGCTACCATTTTACACTACTGCCAACAATGTGAAACGTGGATGTTACTGTAAGAGAAATGCAGTATTTCTGGTTAAAATATTTCCTACCCACAACTCAAAAAAATCTATCCTTGCCTATCACATCTCCTTAGCTTTCCTTTTTAATTCAGAAGCATGTGTTTTGTCTGTGTATATATCCTCCTCACCTCCTGGAATCCAGGTTCAGAGATGTAGGTCTCACATACCTTAATTACAGGAACTCGTGGCTTGAATCTTGAGGACAGCTGTGTTAGCACTTCTCCAAGCAGTTGCTGGTGTTTTAGAACCTTCCTCATTTTCATGATTCTCACAATAGCAGCCTGCACAGTAAAGTTGGGAAGACGTGTTTAGGAGCCAAGTACTTGTCTCTCTGTGTAAAGCCATTTAAGTGTGCTAGATCATGTCTGCCCATGCAGAAGCACCACCACAACCAACTCGAGCATCAGACGGGGAGAAGCTTGCCCACGAGTGTCAGCTACTCACACAGACTTCGAGTCTCCACAGCACAAAAAGTGCTGTCATCAAAAAGTGGTTTTGAGACATAAATTTTTAGAACTGTCAGTCAGTCATAATAACAGCACCAACTGGTAACAAGAGCCACACAAAACTACTTGTGTAGGAAAAAATCTTCTTTATATATTTAACCTGACACTCTCTTACTGGTCCATTTGTATTTCCTTCCTCTGCCTCTGAAGTGGATTCCAAATGAACTGATTATAAAACCACTGTTAATTTCATACTACCTGGATATTACTATTTTTTTTATTATTCAGTTTTTCACTCAGGACAAGGTCTGGTGAACACATGCATCCAAGAAACCCAAACACTCATCAACATGTTAGAACTAATGTGAAGAACACATCCTGCCTGTAGACATGCCTTCCAGTTTCTACTACAGACTCCAATCACCTTTAAGAACATTTTAAACACATTTTTTTGAACTGCAACATAGTGCACTGGAATGGCATGTTGTCTTCTAAGAAAATTAGAAAAACCCACAGTAAGCTGTAAGTAAGTAAATGATTACAAAATTGTGATTCTGAGGTCAATGACAGCAGTCTGCAATAAAACTCACCTGAATCAGTAGTTTTCTATCTTCCTCTATATTTTTGTGTGTAGTTTCTTGCTCCTGCTTCTGTTCAGTCTTCATTGGCACATTGATGTTTACCCTTAATTTTTTGCTGTAAAGCAGAAGTTCATGAACAATTAGACTGTTTAAATACCAAAGAAATACAGAAAAAACTCCAAACAAAACCCAACTCAAAAATAAAAGCCACACCACCATAATTAATTTACAAGAATAGAGGACTTTGGCTCTTGTGAAAACTTTAGACACTCTTACTCAAGTTTTAAAAAATTCAAATAAAAATAAAGCATGCCCACTACCAACCAACAAAACAAAATACCTTTCTGGTGGGTATCTGTGTATTTCACAGCTTACTGAATCCATCCTAGTGATCTGTGAGGTCGAACTAGCACTGTACAGTTACACTGTATTCCAAACATTTCTGTGCTTAGTAAGAAGCTTGGAGTTAGTGAAGGGGACAAAGGAAGTCACTGGAAATGAGATCACCTTTCTGATTTAAAGACTGGATTCTGACTATAAGGTGGAGGAATCTTCTGTAGAACTGAGCTTTGCCTTTCTTTCCCACGCTCCCTTGGAGCTGATGGCTGTGCTGAGGTGAGCCCACTACCACATGTAGCCACTCTCAAGACAAGGTCCTATGTCACAAGTGTGGAGCAAACCTCAGCATCAGAGTACCAGGGAGCACAGGGCTCTGCTCAGCCTGTTAGCTGCACTGGGGAGAGGATCTGTTATTTATTTAGCACAGTGCTCTCCATCATAAATTGGGAACCAGCAGCTGCACAATGCAGCAACTGCACTGTTTCCATCACTGCATTAATGCAACAGACCATGAATTCTCAGACCTTTAATTATCAGTGAAGGGGGATAGAAAGCAGATAAAAGGTGAGGTACAAGGAAAGGTTTTAGAATATTTCTTTCACTTGAGATCTTATCTTCGGGAAATACTGAACTCCTCACTGAATTTATGTGTGTTTATATCTATGCTCTGGTAAGCATGATAGGAAGTACCACAGTGCTGTAAACAGCTTAAAATACACAACTGTTTAAAGTAAGTAATAAAACCTACTGAAAATTGTGTTTATTAAGTCTTCAAATTGTATCCAAATTGGATTCAACTGTATCCTCTGTGGTTGTAAAATGAGCCTGATCTTCTCGTGTTAGCAGTAGTGGATGAACATTTATGCCTCTGACTTTTGCTGGTCACTGGACACTATTGTAACCTTATAAAACATAATGGATTTTGCTGAGTGCATGCAAGTAATGCACCTTGGCAAAACGGCAGCACTTGAATCAATTATTCAAGACTTAGACAAGAATCAAGGAACAAAAAGGACATGAAAATATGTCAGGCCTTGACAGACTTTATGACAAAGAGTCAAGGAGCTGAAGTCGCACCCATACCCCACTACTCGCCAGCCCTCTCCCTGAATGCTGGTACACATTGGATCTACATTTGAATTGACACTTGAACCCTGAAGCTTTCATCCCAAGTATATTAGATTTTGAAAGCAGAGGAGGACGCTACCCATTAAATCTATGTGTTGTATGCTGCTTACTTTTTGTAACCAAGATACAGTTTTATTAAAGTATCTGGTTTTAACTCCACTTCATCAACGTTTGCATTTTCATCTTCCAAAACCTGCAAGAAATAAACAAACATATAAATACATAAATAGTTTTTAACATATTTCACCATATGCTAAGCAGGTCATAAGAAAGCAAGAGTACTTACAAGCAGTTTTGATTTCAACAGTATCTGCAGAACTTGTGTCAAGATATCCTACAAAATTATAGAAAATATTATCAGTGCAGAGAGACAGCACCTCTGTCTAAGTAAAAACTTGACCAAGAACTAATGAATGCAGAACACTGCAAAATGAGGGGGCAAAAAAAAGCAGTAAAAAAATAGTTCACAGAAAAAAAAAAAAATGAAAGTTCTTTTGGGGAGTTATGACATAACCCCCTTGTGGTTAGTCAAATAAAATTCTTCAGAAATTCTAATTCCAAATGAGATCTTTCCAGTTGCTGCTTTAGGAACTATTTGCAAGCAGACTTATATCTAAGAAATAATTTTTCCCAAACCATGCAAATATATATACACATGGAACACTTAAACTTCAGAAAGCAAGCACACTCTGCTTTTTGATTAACATCTTTTTGTTTTAACAGGAATCCATTCTGTTTGCTGTTGCTAGCTGGTCACCCAGAAGGCTACTGGCAATATTCTGTAGAAGCCTGCAAAGATGCTGTTTTTTCAGAGTCTGTAATAAATGGCAACCCCCTAAGACTTCTGTGTTTGCTATAATCCATCAGCAACAATAACTTTCTAGATATGCATTCCTAGAAGTAAAGATTCTACTGAATAGGAATACCTAACTTGCCAGAAGTCAGAGCAGACTTGATTCAAACCTACTGCTAAAGGTCAAATAAATGCCAAATTGTGCGCCAGAAAGCCTGCTTGAAAAGAAAAGGAGGGAACCTTTTCCACAGAGGAAAGTTAGCCAATGAACTGCAGATTTACAATGTTCATGTAAAAAAGCCTTGAGATATAAAAAATGACAGATGCACATATCAATCATTTAGGGGAAATGCTGTTATTGCTAGAATGTTGTCTTTTAACATTAAAATGTATGCATTGAAACACTGAAAACTTCCAACCAGAGCTCAGCAGGAAGCAAGACAATTCACTCCAGTCATGAACAGGAATGTACATGCACTAAAATTCATCAGAAGACTAGGCAGTTATGATTACAGGAAAGTAAACTAGGAAAGTGAAGTGGCCAAAAATAGAGCACATCTGTCTCCTTTGGGACAGAAACTGATTCTGGCTCCAAGTATGTGTAATCCAAATTTCTTATGATAGCAGGAAGAGCCCTGAAGACCAAAACACTTGCCCACAAGAGTGTGGTAAAATGTGAAAAGTCACTACCATTTTTATTTGAGTACTGTCTGTCAGCTGCTGCATGGTGTAGGCGTCTTCTGTGTTGTACTGCAGTAAAATCGCCATCTGGAATGTGGATGCCTGACAGATTCAAAAACAGAGAACAGAGGGGAGATGGGGGAAATCAGAAAATGAGAACTTACAAACACTTTCTGAATTTGAACAACCTGAAATTCACCAGTTAAACACATACACTGGAATATTTGGACAAGAGAGAATACCCAAGTGGTGCTAATTAAAAAAAAAAAAAAATCTCATGTTGCTTTTACAACCAGAACTCCCCTTTCCATAATTTCCTATAAGACTAGGATCATTTAGCTTGCTTCAGACACTTCATCAAATCTTCTATTATGGTATCAAATCATTATCCTTCTACTTGCTAATATAGTTTTAATTGTTTTCCTCTGTCACTCCAACTCTTACCCATTTAATCTTCATTAAACCCAACACAGACTACTGAACTCAACCTCCCAACTCCAGGAGAATAATGAAACCAGATGTATACACCAAGCAGCTAGCACTGGCTTATCCATGTCTATCACCACAGGGTTAATGTATGCTGATGACAAGGTCAAAGTCTGACATTATCTTGTTTCTTCTTACTGTTGTGAATTCCCCATCCCATCTACTTATTGAGAGAAAACAGGCAGGGAAATACACACAGCATGAGATCCTAGACAAAGAGGTTGTGTTTGTCTCACAAAATGCATTTCAACACCTGTTTAAACCACAGGCAATATGTTCCCTTTCCTAAGTCAATTTTCTTTTAAACACAGATCTTTAGTATCAGTATAGTAATTAAACGTGTAATAAAGGTTCTACTGGCTGCATCCAGTCCTCTGAATACAACCATCTCCAAGTGTTTCTATTGGCATTAATTGTCCTTACCTGTAACGTGTATCTGTTTTTGAAACAGTTGGTAACCAATTCCCCTTTGGACAGCTGATACAACCATGTTAATTTTCTTCCACTGTGACGACTGGCATAAAATGCAGTAAATCTCTGATAGCTCCGTTCTAACTGTAAATAAATAATAAATAAATAATACTTACCTTCATTTACCGTTACTAGAACATGTTATGGAAGTAACAGGGGATCATCAAATCTGATCACCCTCAAACACTATTTTGTCTAAAAAACACAAACAGAAACTCAAAGTATTTAAATTTGGCAGACTGGATGAAAAATTTCCCTCTGCTACGAGTTTCCCCTTTAAAGTATCAGTAAAGTTAACAGTACAAATATAAACAGGCATTTAGGGTTCATTCTTCCTTTTAGGATACATTAAGCATGGCTAGGAAAGCGATTTGTTTTAACCACCTTCATCCTCTGGATAACAGCATTAAACTTATTTCTCATGTTAAATATTCATGTCTTTTCTTTTCTGGATAAGCACTCAGCAGAAAACTAATGATTATAATTGCTTAAGATTTTACTGGGCAAAGCTGAAGCAATGGTATGAAAAAGTTTCTTAAATTAAGTATACCCAGAAAAATGCACTAAGATTTGCTTTAGTTGCTGTTGAATATTTTGAAGAAAGATTCATTAACCAGGGAGTTTTCATGGGAAAGATAAGAAAACATGGATTTCACATAGCTCCCTCCTACTACCTTACTCAATTATCTTGTTCCAAATAGGCAAATACCAGAGAACTTATAATCGTCTCTGATACACAACAGAATAGAAGGAGACACCAGCCTTGTAAAATAAATCTCTCTCATGATCACTCCATATTCAGATGAACTAAGTGCAAGTGCCTCACCTCAGATGGCAGAGCAAATGTGCAGGACTGCTGGAACGGCCACGATCCAGAACTCAGCACTTGGATGCTGAAATCCACTGAAAGAGAGGTGAAGAGGAACTGCATTATCTCACTTTCCCTAATCCCCTCTTCAAACACAGTCCCAGTTCTAACACAGAAATAGTTCTGGCCTTGTGGTCAAACCAACACAGTAAAAAATCATTAAGCACTATTTTATTTTTGTCAGAGCATAACCAAAGCTATTCATAAGAGATGTCACTGCTTTAGATTTACTGTTTTGGATACTCAATCTTCTCTAATTTGGAGAAGTTACTACTCTGTTTCTATCCCTACAATGGGTTTCTCTTTTAACACAGAAGTGTGAAAATTCTTAAGTGTTCATCATCACTCCACAGTATACAAGTGCAAGAACAGATCTTTCACACCTATACTTGTAAGGCATTTTGGTCAAGTCAAGTACAAATAATACAAAAACTAAGTAAAATTTGAGCCTGACAATACACAATTCTAATAGTAATCCAATAAATACTTGTCAATTCTTGACAGAATTTGGTTCAACGTGCTTCAATTAAAAAAAAAAAGTAGAGAAAAGTGACAGGAGCACCTAACAACACAATATACTTTTATCCTTAATACTTTTACATAAGTCTAAGTATTAAACAGTTAAAAATCAAAACTGTTTAAATAAAAGCATCTCTTCAATCAAACAAAAAATAAGAAAAAAAGAAAAAAAAGACAAGACAGTATTCAACTTAATTTAGTTGTGTACCTAAATATGAGCTGCAAAGTCAGGAGGAGGCTACTCACAAAATATATAAAGAGCTACTAGATGACAAAGAACAGACATAGAAGACTAATTTAAACATCCCAGCTATCTTGGTCAGAAGAACACTAATTTGTGGCAGTATGAGAAAGTCAAATATCACTCCCACACACTTAAGTTTAGCAGAAGTAAGAGGAAGCTATACTATGCAACAGTAAATTAGGTAAAGGTATTACTTACAATCTAATGGTTCTGAATTGGTCAGGTGCTTTTTAAATTGCTCATTCAAATCCTTGCTTACACCAATATCTTGGAACATCCGCTGCAGCTTGGAGGTATACTCAAAACCACAAGCTTGCTGTATTTTAAAAGCACAGATATATCAGGAAGACACATTTTTGACATTGGATAATGAGAAGAACAAAGTGTTGGAACTTATTTCCTAAACAGAAGATGTACAAAGTTCTGTATTTCCCTTACTCAAAGTGCCAATCCCCCCGGAATATGAGCTTTAACTGCCATTGAAAATTAAAGAAAATTTTGTTTAAAAATTAAGCAAAACACAATGAAACAGACTACTCGAAGGGTAGCTGATTATATTTTGCTTAACTCTACATAAATACACGTTAACAAAATTAAGCAACTTTTCAGTACTCATTCCCTTTAATAATTAAATCTGTATCATTCATTTTGTTAAGAATAACTAAGCTTAACTCCATCAGACAGACATGCACCAGAAGTTCCTATAATTTAAAAAAAACAAACCAAAACAACAGAAAAAAACCCCCTAGGTTGTGTATTTTTTTTGTGCATAAAATAAACAAATGCAAGGATGTACATCAGTGCTTTCCAAAAGAGTGTGAAGACCAGCAAGGCAGTAGATCATGGGACAGTAATGGAATACTCACTTTTAATTTGGAGATCATGCTTGCCTCAGCATCATCACTAGCACTGTTTTGATGCACAAGTCTCTTTGCCAGCATTTTAGCATAGAATTTTTGAAACACATCTTTATCCTCAATGTACTTGAAAACAACCATCTGGAAAAGCCAAGAAAATCAGTAAGGAAAACATATTTAAACATTTGTCTCGAAAAAGCTGTAGCAGGAGCTACTTAATTTGCACTTAAATTTTAAAGATTGGGGGTTTTGTTTGGCTTTTTTGGGGGAGGGTTGAGGGACTGGTGGTGTGTGTTTGCTTTAATATGGATATTATTCTTAAAAAAGAACTGTATATTCCACATGTAGAGCACATTATATATATGTGAATATATAATGATATAAAAAGATGTAATGGAAATTACGTATTTTATAGGTATTATTTATAGGTATACAGATTAAGTGAAAGCACAGCTTCAATATAGCCACTTTAAATCTGCTGTAAAGGGGCTTTTAATAAAAAAATAAAATATTTTTTATATTTTATACATATTTATAGATATCTTACCACTTGATTGAGTGTATCTTCCAATTCTGCTTCTTCTGGATTCTTTGAGCTGCAATTAAAGATGTACATTTTTAATGAGTCTCAAACCACCAGAATTAAACCAACATATGGATGCATATGGAAGCTTCAGAAATAAAAGAATGCAAATTTACGTAGTTCTGAGATCAAAGGCTCTTTAAAGAGGAAACAATGTAATGAGGTGAACACTTCACTGCTCCACTTGTCAGCAATTCTGAAGTTCCCAAATGTCAGAGACTGAAGTTCTGGACCATGACTTGCTTGGGACTTCCTGGTAGCCTGGTACTTGTCAGGATTCATGAGCTTAAACATGGACTTCTCTCTTCCTGCTGCTAAATGCTATTTTTATTTCTTATCTTAGATAGTACAGTGAGAAGAAACCAGCTCACAGAGCTAGGACTTGACCAGATGAAAGCTCAGGTGGGACACTGTCTTCCTCCATCTCCTGCTTGTCTACCCGGCAAACCTCATACCTACCCTGCACACAGTCACAGTATTTGTAAAAGAGAAAATAAACCCTTTGCTGAATGAAGGAGGGGATGGGAAAAAGAAAAGTGAGCTAGTTCTCCCATCTTTGGGTTGTTTGGTGGTATCTATTTTTCCTCTGCCAAAACAACTAGAAATGTTGCCAAGGACAAAACTGACACCAATCCAGTGTGAATTGAACTGATACTAAGTCAGCATATGAACTGCTGAATTATTTAAAGCCAAATACCTTGAATTAAAATAGGAACTATGAGAGGTTAGAAAGCAGTTTTTGTCCTCCTCAATGTCTGCCCAGATGGAAGAAGGAATAGAAAAAAACAGCAGGAGGAAAGCAAGAGTTTTAATGGAAAAAAAGGGAATATTTATCTCTTTACAACATATGGCCCAATTTAAGTTTTCCAGTGTAAAAAACCCTACCTAAAACCCCTCCTTCAGTTTTACTGAAAAACAAAAACCTAAGATTCCAGTAAGGCAAGAAAGGTTTCCTTATTGCCTCCACTTTTACTTAAAAAGAAAAGTAAACAACATAACCTTCAGGAATGGTCCCACTGAAATTTTGTATCCAGAATTTGATACAATTAATTTCTTGCAAAGTGAAGTTCTGTTTCTAAAAACAGTATAAAACTTCATAGGCTGAAACCTTTTAAAATAAAAGCTAATATGAAATAAAATCATTTTTCTTTGAGGACATACCTTTTCTTTAGTAAAGAGTCACAGTATCGTGCCAGTAGCTCTGGGGATTTACTGGATGATTGAGCCATTTTTGTCACTGCATTATTATTTATAAATCGACCACAAGCCTATAAATCATAAAAGACAGTGAAATTTTGGGAGACAATTTTTTTTTTTTTTGCACGGAAATAAAAAGTCCAGCATCTGCCACTACATGCACTTACTTTGTCTAGTGCTGCCACGAAGCCAGCATCATTGTTGAATGCAGACATGACTAAAGCGTTGTATTTCTTATGGACATCCAACACTGTCTGAACATACATTTTTGGATCCTGCAATAAGGAGAGACTGGATTTTGCAAACTGTTGACTTTCTGATTTCTACTTCCTCCAAAATGGAGCTATTCACGGGCCCAACAAAATTTGCGTGGGGAAAGTCTATGAAGTATTAGGAATATTTTAAAGGTAAACTAGTACCCAGACTGATTCAGGTCCTGTGTCCAGGACTGACTGATGTTACTGCAAGCTTTCATTTACAGTAACCAGAGTGCAGAGTGTACCACATTACACAAAGGAAAACAAAGTCTCAACCACTGCAAACATTTTCAAAGACTTATTTCAAGTCACACCTGAGAGATCTGGACAATCATAAAATGGCAGCTACTGTAAAGGAAAATCTCTGTAGTAAGAATGCGACTGGTGTATATCCAGCAGGTACAACTTAGTACAGACACCTCAGTCATTGGTAGTTCTTAAAATTTACCTGCTCAATACTCAGCGGCAGCCAAATACCAATAAACATCAAGTTTATCGTACTCAGACTGAGTTCTATGTGCAGTTACTGATCTTGCTTCTCAATAAAGATGGAATGGAGTCAAGGAATAGAACAATGATGGGCAAGTAAATCATCAGGCATACAGGATAGCGACTCCACAACTGACTAAAAAAAGCTGGAAGTCTTTAATTTGGAGATCAGAAGGCCTTGTTGACAAGAAGTGACAGAATATCGGCAGGGTTGCATGAGGATCCTGAAAAACACTTCCTGTTACCACTGAAAAGAGACACAGGCTACCATGGACCACCAGTCTAATGCCATGATTGAGATAAAGAACTGAGATTATTTAGAACTTCTGAGATAAAGAATGCAAGCAGACATTCAGAAAAGTATTGATTACAAGAACTAAAAAAACCCAAAACAAACCAAAGGCACAAAAAGCAGCAAGTCTTCTGATTGAAAAGCAGTCTTGTTAATACTGTTAACAGAGATAGAGAACAACTCCTTCGGCAGTAAAAATCTAAAATAGGTGAAATGAGTCAGGCTAGTATGACTATTTCTCTGCACTGATTACAGAGAAGCTGAGAAGCATTTGTTCAGCTGATTATCTGTTTAGACACAGTACAGGTAAATGAAGCTGGGAAGAATCAATCCTACCTAATTGTGATAGAGGACTAACAAGACAATACAGGGGTGTAAGGGATACGGACAGAAAAGGCAAGATGGTTCCCAAGGGAAACAGCCAGACATACTGTTAAGAAATTAAGAACAAATGTGTGGAATAAGGAACAAAAGAGAAAGATGAGGAAACAAGATAAAGTGTCAGAGGCAGGAAGAGTTTTGTAAACTACTGGAGTCAACTAATATATACAAATCTTGGACCTTCCCTCTCAAAGATGAAATAATTCTTGGAGAAAGAGCTTTCATTTTTTTCTGGCCTAATTCTTTAAGGCCTAAATTGAAAAAAAATGCAAGAGTGATGACCACTAGGGGGATGTGGAGTAGATATGATTTCAAAATTTACGGAGACATCTACAAATGAAATTGAAGATTCCTGAACTTGCTTCATGATTACTTTATGATTCATAAAAGATCAACACTGCTAAAAAGCTATGCACTTAGAGCTACAGAAGTGAACAACAGATACTACACCCTTCAATACACATTACTGCTTTAGTATGAAGCTATTTCACGAATTTCTCAAGACAGTAACAGGTTGAAACGAACTTTGTAAAAAATCAAAGTTAATCATAGAATCATAGAGTAGCCTGAGTTGGAAAGGACCCACAAGGATTATCAAAGTCCAGCCCATAACCCTGCAAATCATGCTGATGATGTTAACAGTGACAGTGCATGAGAGCATTGTCCAAGTGCTTCTTGAATTCTACTTAAATAAAATCTACCAGAATCTATATTCTATCCTGATCTTGCTTTGTGCAGTGCTTCATTCTTTTTTCCCCCGGAAAACATCGCATTGTCTATACAGAAGAAGGCTGGCAAAGAATTTAAACAACTTCATGTTGCCAAGATGCAACCCTAATCAACACAAAACTAAGTTTGAAATCACAATTATGGGATAAAAACTGAAAAAGCAGCCTTTCCAAAGACCCAATCTCCTCCTTGTATCGTGACCTTTTCAACCATTTCAGTTCCTTTTTCTTCTATTTCTCATGCTTTTCCAAACAGAATAAAGACATTATCAAAAAACTCAAACCAACAAACTCTCTAGTCCCATCCAAGTCAGAATTCCTTATGATGATGAAATAAAATAGTCAACTGGACATAATGCTTGAAACAGTGGACTGTCAGGTGTATTTGAAAGGGTTGATTGCACAGCCAGCTTTCCAAGCAACGTAACATTCTGACAGAGAGCAAAATCTCAACTCTCCCTCCTCCACAAAATCAAACCAAACCCACCCCAAAACCTCCCCCAAACCAAATGAAAACAAATGAAAACACCCCAAAGATTCCCAAAACTCAAAGAGTAGAAAGAGAGTGATGTAAGTTTTGTTTTAAGTCTACTACCAACATTTGAGAATTGCCAAGTCCTTACAAATTACATTAGTGAGAGGGAAAACAAGCAAACTGGAAGTTTTATGAGGAAGCATTCACTGTCCTCTAATGTAAAAGTGGCGGCAACCACACACAGACTTGTTTTGATGGGATACTTGCATTTAGTGCAGCTTCTCCACATTTCTCAATTGCAGCTAGACCCTGATTATGAATGTGGGTTTCCAAAAGTTTTTTCAGCTCTCCAAGGCCATCCTGGATTCGAGATACAAGGTTATACATGCGACCCAAGTCTGTAAAAGACAAAAAAAAAGAAAGATAACATCTCCCATCTGTACTGGCTATTAGTTCATTTTCTCATTTACAAGTTGTCAATAGGAGCTATACATCCATTGTCAACAAAAACACACATGCGATTGATCTGTAAAAAGCCAGAAAAAACAGTAAACAACTATACAGTACAGCACAACTTTGCACTCACCTGGAAAGCTAACACTAGTTAAAGAGAAAGCAATCTGTTATATTAGGATCTACTTTTTACCTTCACAATGCAACAAATCTCAAGAATAAAAACCCACCATTTGAATGGTAGAAAATTTACTTCTGATTTTTACTTTACACAGGTTTAAAGCAGTGATTTAAAAATGGTGTTAAACGTCTCTTATTTAGCTAACATTGTGAGGTGCTGTCATGAATTTGAGACTGTTATTAATGTTACTGCTGGCTTTACTACAAGTACTACATTTTCCAGGTGACCACAGTCCTTTAAATCTTATTCTGAACAGGAGAGTTCTCAGAGATCTAACATCACTTGTAGCTCTTTGTATATCAACACTTCTACTTTGGGCAGCATCAGTGGTAACAGCTGGAAATTTAAGGCAAAATGTTATGTGTTGATATAACGTTTGCAGATAAATTGAAACACAGTAAAACACATCTTTTAAAAGAATCAACTTTAAGTGAACTGATTACTAGTAGTAGTAACTATTTGAAAGAAAAAAGAGGTTCTGAAAAGCATTACAATAGAACTATTGAAGGCAAAAAGAAACTGCATGTCATTTCACATATGTTAAGGCTTCATATTAAAATATCACCAGTTTTCAGCCAAGACTTTCCAAATCAATTAGCAATTTTTGAAAGTCTAATACTGAAGAGGATTTTGGTTTCTATTATTTAGTTTCAACAGGATAGATGCTTTGTATTTTCTGAGAGCAGAACTTTAAAAAAAACAAAAAAACCAGCAAACTTTGAATTGACCTTAAACCATATTCACAAACCTACCAGTCACCTCTTGCAATCTCACCTTCACTGAACAGGCATTCCAGCAAAAGAGTAAACAATCAGATTATTCACTGTAAACTAAGGAGGATATTTCACCTTGTGGAACCTATCTAAAGGTTAACAGCTGCATCTAGCTCTTCTAAAGTGCAAGGACTTCTCTGAAGGGCTTGTAAGCAATTTATTACCACCAGAGGACTATCAGATTTAAAAAAACCAGAGCAATCAATGAGCTAGTGCTCTACCTAACTCTGAAATACAACACATAGAGTTTGATGCCTTCTCATATTGAAGGGATGACATTTCAGTTCAGTCAGGTTTCTGTATAACACTTTCTTTAAAACTTTGTCAAGCTTTCAACTTGCAGATTTCAAAACAAAACTTTTATTTCTCTCTATGAAAACCACAACTATAACCCGTTGTTAAACATAAGAATACCCTGCAGAACTTTAGAAAAACAGTAGGAAAATAATGCCATGCATAGATACAATAAGCTGCTGCTCAATCTACCCACAAACAAGTGTTCACAGGTCTGTTTACCAGGATGTCTGTGTTAGGTGAAATAAGGAAGAGATGCCACAAAAATCTCATGGAAGATTTGCATGGTAACTCCGCCTACATCATTACTGCCTTCTCCCAATAAACTAAATTGTTTCCCATAGGCACCATGCTGAGTATGTAACACATGAGGAGTGTGCCCCATAACCTTTATAACCACTTTATGCACTAGTTACACAACGGATTAAAAAGTTACAGAACACCAACAGGAGTGGCATGTAATATGAAATTCTCAAACATAGTTTGTATGGGAGGACCTCAAAACCACTGTACTTTCAAGAGCAAAGCAATAAATATTTTAATCAAGAGCAACCTTTTATTGTAGACCTTTAGGATAGTCTACCAAAGGCTATATTAGTATATCACAAATTGGAGAATGAACTGATTACTGTGATTAGAGTCAATTATCAGACTATTACTGAAAATAAATTTTCTAATCTTGAAACTTAGTGAATCTTAAAAAGGCAGAGGGAGCTGCTACAATTTCCATAAGGGAAGCCTGATAACAGAAGATAAAATACTCTGAAAAAGGAAAAAAAAAAAAATCAAGCATTTAAAGAAAGTCTAGTAATTTTAGAAATAATCCACATGAAAGTAAACCCAAAGAAACATACATAAGTAGACAGTGCCCAAGACACAAGGTAATTGTTTTCTTTTTTGCCAAGAGAAAGTTACGGAATTGCATCACTATGGTTAAGTGATTGTACTAAGGGCTCACACAATCCATGAGCTTGATAAAGCAGGAGGAAAAAAGAAAAGTCTGTGAAGTCTGTGAGTCCAGAAAAAAACTTCTTGTTAGTTCTATTGCTATTTCAATTGTCAGAAGTAATTTAGTAATTTATAAAGTCATTTCACAAAGCAACACTCATCAAAATCTCTTCCAATTATGGAGTAAATATTTACGAACACAAACATCTGACTCAAATACTAGTAGACATTATTTACATTTGAATCAGTTAACTTCTGACCTACTAATCATGCTGAATTACCCTTTTTGATTTCAAAGCATCTCTTAGTTTATCAATGTAACTATTACAGATTGTAATAATTCACAGTTGCTATTTTAAGATTGATATACAATGAGACAGAATGATAGTTACAATTTAAAATTCGCAAAGGAACAATATCATTATTAGTAACTTAACTACATCACCTTGTACATTCTTCTACTTTCTTAAGAGTAGTATTTCAGCTACACAGCCATACTCAGACTTGAAATACAGATTTAATTAGTTCCCCAACTGGGAAATCAGAATCATTATTTATCCTTATCATCTGCATGATCCACAGGAATAAGTTCTGGCTACTATTCTGTGCTCTCTATTAACTCCTGAAGAAACTCATACAAAACAACACAATCGACAATTCCTTAAAGATACCTAAATTCTGGTAATCTTCACTTATTTCAGAGGAAGTGCTGAAGAAATCTTTTTTCTACGTATCCTCTATGACAACATAAACTCGATCCATTAGCAACACTTAAGAATCATTTCCACAGCCAAAATTAACCCATCAATTAGTAATTTCCAGTCTTTCCTTGTGCTCTATATGCAATATTATGTATTTTATATACTGTATTTTAAAAGCTACTTATTTGCATCTATTCCTCTTTTAACACTTCCTATACATACTTCTCAACACTTTGGGTTTTAAAATTCTCAGTGCTGACTCAGAAAGACCCATAGATTAAAACTGAAACAGCTGGGAAAGTGTACTGGTCTGTTTTCCACCTCGTATCTCTCTCACACAAGCTTCCGCTCCTGCTGGAAAGATGGATCAAATGCTCTCGAAACTCTTCCAGCCATGTTAAGAGAAATCAAACTAGTGCTGTTCTGCCTTAATATCTGGGACTGGGGGAGGGTCCTTGAAGCAGTATCATCAGGCATCCCAATTTCATCAAAACCTGCTTGTCCATCAGTTTAGTGACTATATTCTCTCTTAATCTAATTCCTAAACAAATGACATTTAACTAGCACCAGATTTTGCTTTGTTCACAAATCATCAGGGAGGAGAGCTCTAAGCCTAAAGCTAGTGTTTGAAACTCCTTACCTTCATTTTTGTCAGCATCCAACAAATTCTGAAACTCTGTATGAAATATCTCCAGGTGTTTTTCAATAAGTACTTGCTCACACTTTCGTGCTAACTCATCTTGTGTGCTCTCATGGAGATACACCTGAACTCTACGCTGCTCCTCAAGAAGGCGAGCTTCGGCCTACAGAAACACAGAGATAAACATGAAACCTGCAAGAAACGCAGAATACTAATCCAACAGCAGAAAACAGGTTACTGTTGAGTAAATTCTTCTAGAAAACAACAACAAGAAGCAAACCTCTCTCATTTGGTGTTATGGACCACCTACTTAAGTAGTTCTTTTTCCGGGAATCATAATATATACTTGGAATTGACATTTATGTTGATGAAAATACTATGTGCTGTTTAAATGGAGGGGGAAAATCATAGCAAATCTGTTTTCACTGACATGAGATGCTGGAAGTTTTAGGATCAGCAAGCTCTCCAGCTACACAGGTAGTTTTGTTTAAGACAAACATGAACATATATCATGGCTCCACAAAACTAAAAAGCAGGAAACTATAATTTAATGCTATGCCCACGACAAATTTATTTGAATATTCTCATCTACATTCTTACACAGAAAAGCTTCCCAATAAACTACGGTCATTTAAATTACACTAGCATTTAATTTGGCATATGAGGTGCTACATATGTATACATTCCTGGCAAACCAAAATTCTAAATGTCACTCAAGGAATAGAACTTATGAGGAACTGTAAAAGTGAAATTGTTTACATAACAATTACATCTATTTTGCTTGCATAAGCGTTAAGGATTCGCATTACAAACCATTTGTAACTGCAGCACATTATTAGGGATAAAGGGTTTATGTCCTCTTATGAGCCCAAATTATTCAAATTAACAATGTTAATCAGGAAAATGGAATTGGGTTAATTCATTTTCCTGGTATGCCAGAGTAACAAGTAAGCATGACAGATCATATTCCCGACAATAAAAAAGGAACAGTTACACTGCAAGTGCACTGCATCATACGTAGACAGCTTTAAATCACCTCAGTCACTGTTAGCTTCACTCATTCTGTAATGATTTTGCACTTAGGTCTTGTGAAATGGTCCTGGATTACTGTGTCCTAGAGCTAAACCAGGAAATGAAATCAGCAATTTGAGAAGGGATATAATCTCCAGAGTACCTGCCAGTTTCTTACCAGTAAGGAATAGCAATCAACTTCTTTACTGACAATAGCAGCAAATCTTTCTTAGGAACATTGCAACTACTTATCCTGCATTTAACCATTTCTGTATTTCTGTAGTTCAGGAAATGCTGCCACTTCTAATGCTGCTTCTTAAAATATCCTTAGACCTTAGCTTTTAATGTTAACAGTCAACTCTCAACATGAGCTCTTTTATGAAAAGAAATATTTACTCTAACTTCATGTTTCCTAATACTATCTCTTTTTATTTTTTTTTTCTGGTGTTCTTATAACTCCATTTTCCTTTTAAAGTCACATTTCAGAAACAAGGGAAAAATAATGAGTTCACACAACAGTATCTTCACTTGTTTCAACTATGAAGATGAGAAGTTCAGTGTAAGACTACAATTCAAGGGACAGTCTTAAGAAATACTGACCTTTTTCCCTACAGCACATCAGACTATGCCAGCTTTACTCATGAGTTCTGGCCTGAGAAGAAAAATTCACAATCCTTCTAAACTCAGTAAGTCTGCCTACATAACTACATACGCAAATCCCAGTTCTAGTCAAGATTTCATTGACTAATCCTACAAGACACTACCACAATTCTACTGTAACACGGTAACAGTCATGCTATGCTGGTGTGCCCTAGGGTACTCCAAGGTTTCTTTTTATTTTGCAATGCTATTTATTGCCAGACAGAACTTAAAGTACAGTGCTCCACTGAGAATGTCACGTAAGTGAACTAACAACAGATTATTCCATTCACAGTTCATGCTTCCATCAGATTACTTTTAAGACCTTAATAGCCACTAGTCTGTAAGAAGATGCCAAGGGTGCCCAAATGGCTTGTATACATCTCTAATGTATTAATTTAAGCAGATATATAAGGCTACACACTTCTCTGCTGAACATTTCCCCTGCTATCTGCTAGCTTTTTATGTGCTTTCACCTTCAACATCAGCTTCAAGCAAAGCAAGTTGCTGTTTTGTGGATTTCTGAAGTCTTGAGGATTTTTTCAGGTACTAATAAGTTATTTCTACTGGCCCGTAATCTCTAGTTCTTGAAATAGTAATGACTTTCAGACAGCTTCTTACTGTCTTGGACCAAGGAAGTCTGGATGAGCCAGCCATTCATGTTCTGAATGACTGAAATTTCCTTACTTTCTCTCTATACACATATTAGGATAAAAGTTAAACAAGAACTTGAAAGGAATGTAGCAAAAAATAATCAATTCAACAACAGAAAAGTAAACATAGGTTGGTCTGGTAATTATTGGAGAACTACCAAAGGCACAATTCCTTTTACTGTGTTATTTCTACAACTTCCCCTCTCACCTTTTTCTTCTTTTTGGGTAATTCACTGACTTTCATGCCAAGAGTTAAGAAAAGATGCATTCTTTGGTAAAAAGCATTACACAAAAAATACCGCAGGGAGAGATGTACATCTGCATATTACATACTTGAAAAGCTCTTACTTTTAAACTAAGCTGAAAGGGAATAAACAAGCAGCAATTCAGACAGTGAAGTGTGCTGAGAAAAAAAATATATAAAGCACATCTTCCCAAGGTGGAAGATGACTATCAGTAAGACTGACCCAATAACCAGGCTAGAAATAGCCAATCTTTATCTCTGCTTGCTCTTAGTTGCCTTGTCTGGGATCTCCAAAACCAGAGACTAGTTAAGAATTTAAATCTGGCCTCTGTTGATGAGAAGTACTATGCAGGGGTTCATGACACTAAAATATTCTGAGAGAATTAAGGCCAATTAATGATGTATTTCCTTGGCCAGCTTGCTCAGGAACGTATTTCAGCAAATGTGTAAACACATTGTTCCATGTACAGGAATGGTAAGCTTGTGGTATTCAAGCAGAATTACTGTTTTGGTGTCTTACGTCTAAAAAAAATCTAAATTTATTTTAACTTCATCTTCTTTTTTGACTGTTCAGAAAGTTCCATACTTTCACTGCCGTAAGGAGACAAACTTCAGTCCAGATAAACACAGAAGCAAATCACAACAGGGAAAACCAGCTATCTTCTTCTGTAAAATAACCATCATTTTAAGAAACTGATCATACAAGCCTAGAATTTATATTCGCTTACCTCTAAAAAAGTCTGTATCCAGAAAAACAAAAATCACAAAGCAGATTAAGTAAATTACCTTCTTCATGTACTCTGTAACTGGGTTCTGTTGCAAGAATTCAGTACTTTCTCGTGTATAAAATCTCTCCGTGTCAGCAAGAAACTGAGATTCAAAGGATTCTTTATAGACAGTTAGTGTCGGTCCTTTTGCAAATGCATCATCTTCATTCAGCCCCAGCTCCACTAAAGGAAAAAAACACAACCAAACAAAAAAGAAATGACAAAATTGGTTTTTATGAAGTGATCTCCTGCAAAAACAAGGACACTCCTAACTTAGATGAAAGCAATCAATCAGGACCGTATCAGCACCACTTTCAAAAAAAACACATTGATCTTGCATTTAAAAATTATCAGTACAAGACATTAGTAAATGTCAACTACACTTTTAGATACATTTCTTAAATGTAGGATTATAGAATTTGGAAAACTTCACTATCTCAAATGCTAGCTCAAATACTCCTTTCATTTTTCCCTCTTAAGAGTTCCACATTATATGCTTTTGCTTTTATTAATGAAACTAGTCAGTAATTTGGATGGCAATGCTCTCAATATTATGCAAAAGAGAAAAAGCAACCCCACTCTGCTGTGCATACTACCATCTTTCCCCACTTCCAGACTTAGCTCCTTAATAACTTGATTTGTAAACAATGAACACTACTGTTTATCAGTTGCACTCTCAAGTTTTACAAATATGGTATAATCAACTGCTATTGTATAAAGTATCAGTACATATGTGAAGTCAAACAATACATAAAAAAATCTTTACTGGACATCTGAGAAGGTGGGATGTTACTTTTGGGCTCTGACAGCGTACATAAATTTATTTCTTTTTAAGAAAGTAACCGAATCTTAAATAAATCACACTTACCATAGGATTGTACAACTCCACTGATCAGCCTTGTATTGATAGTTTCACCATTTCTTTCCTTTTCAATCAATTTCAACACTGCATTTGTTACCTTAGAAAACAGGGATTAAAAGTTAAGTCCAGCACAAAGAAAGCAGCTGGTGGATCAAGCATCATACTTAATTAGGAGTATATTTCCATAGTCAAGAAAAGTCAGGCACCTTGAGAACAACATTTAAGGAGATCTGAACATACAAAGTTCCTACAGAGAATTATACACCTTTAAGTTATACAACGTATTTACAGTCTGATTAGTGGCAAGGTGTATATAGGTATTAAAGTGCTTAGTTGTTTTTTTCCTTAATTTCAAAAAAAACACCATCTCAGCCAAACTTGTCTTTGTTTTATACCTGAAATACAAAACACTGTAGCAAGAGCTGAACTAACCACCTGCTCTTCGGCCAAATGATCTGCTGCAACTATTTCATCATGAAGTAACTGGTAAGAAGTGAAATCAGCATATACACGTACCTAAAAATTGTGATGGAATGCCGTGCTTTATTTTGTGCTGATTCACTAATTTTAAACATTTGGCTGACCTGAGTCTCCCAGGCATCAGGGTAAATATAACAACAATAACATTAGGAGAGACCAAAATCCCAGCCTGTCACTATCTGGTCTCATCCAATCTTGACTCCTAAACCTTAAGTCATGACTGTGGTCAGTCTGTACTCCTGCCTAGCTTAGTAAATTGCATTTTTCAAAAAAAGCCAAGGGTCCTCTCAGCAGAGAAATAACAGAACAGTCTTGGTGTCATGGTTCGATCTCACACACAAAGGCCTATTCCTTCAAATTATTATTTTTTTTTGTATTACAAAGGAGCAAAGGAGAAACAGAAGGCTTCATTTTATTTTCCAGGTCTGTGCATGCCAACACCCCCGGGCCTCCTTCAAGCAGTTACTAACAATATATGAAATTAACCCTATAAAATAACACTATAGTTGTAAAATATTAATGCATATACCTGCTTATTTAATGGCCTGAATAAGCAGTCTCTCCAGGTCACCAAGGCAAGCTAGAAGTAAAAGAAGGAAGAAGAAAGATGGAATAGAGAAAATATTTACATATACATGTAGGGTAATTCCCTTTAAGGAAAGCTGATGCAGTATGCTAACTAATCAGAACTTTTAAAACTGTATTTTGGCACACACATTTCTCAAGCAATAAGATTGTTTCACATTAATATTACAACCAGCTTTACCATTAACTTTACTAAGTTGTTCCTTTTTCTACCAGGGGATCCACTGCCAACTCCGGAAACTAACAAAACCCACTTTGAGTTACTTTGAAAACATACAGGTTTTTTTGTTGCCAATTTCCAAGCTGATATAGTCCCTTAACATTAGGCTACTAAAGTTAAGAGGAAGGGAACTAAGGATACCAACTGTTTTTCTACCATATGCAAAATTATTTCAGCAAAGCAGGAAAATAGCACCACTTCCCTTATGCTTCACCAGTAGGGAAAGTAATTACCCTGTATTTTAAAAAAGCCCTCTTAGTTATCTGAGATACAGAAGATCTGTTCTTATTTATATTACTTCACATTAAAAAAAATTATCAAGATCACATATCAATCGTTCAGAACTGTACCAAAGTAACTTGCACTACAAAATAAACGTCTGAATCTTAGCAGCTTGGATGCTAAAAAAATTTGTAGAAATGTATTGAAGTAATCAGAAAAAAAATTGTTTACTGCTTCATTTGGTGTTTGAAATGCTTGGATGAATTCTAAGTGGGATGACAAGGCCACATTGAGGCACACAGGTAACACTAAGTAGCAAATATTCAGAAACAGACACTCAATAGTCTACTACAATATACACAAGGCAGATTAAACATCTCACAGACTTAGACCCTCGGAATTTTTGCAAATATACTGGGGTAGGTGTAGGGAAGGGAGGGAGAATGCCACTTTGCCCACTTCTTCAAAACTTCTGTGAACCTCCTACAAGATTCACGGAGTGATCTATAGGATAATAATGCAAACATGGCAGATGGCATGGACAAATCACTCACTTCAAAAAGCAACTTACTGAATAAATTTCATATATTCCCTTACGACCTTCATCGCACTCACGACGAACCCAATGTCGATTGAGGTAGGCACATATCCCATTCAATACTTTGCTTGAAAACCTATAATCTTCCCACTGTTGAGTGTAGAATTTCAGCACACTCTCATCCATCAAATCTTCACCATCCTGCAATTACAAGTTTGCCAGTACTGTTGTGCAATTGTAAGATACAACCAAGACATATCAGGGTATACAAAATGACTGTAATAAATCTACACCATGCAATTTACTTACAGGAAACACACTGCTAATACATTTAGTTCTACATTAATAAAGCACAAAGCCAGTAAGAGATTTTGAAATTAAAAGACTGGGAAAAAAAATGCACAGCACAGATAAAGCTCCAGAAGACATCCCTGTCCCTCTGGATGCAAGGTAACATCCAGCTCTATTAGTAGTTTATTTATTAAACTAAAATAAAGACTATCATCAGGCATTTTCAACATGATAGGCATTAATTTTCTCTGCATTCCTAATTCGCTGGTTAACTGCTTGGAAAGTGTATGTACTCTTGCTCAAGTACAGGACAGGTTAAGATGTCATGTAACATTACTTCTATAAAACACAGGGATGTTGTTTTGGCTTTAAGAGGAAAAGCAGCACACAGGTACAAGCTTAGGGACTGATCTATGTCTGAGGTAAAGCCAACAAAACATTCTAATGGCTACAGAGACAAAAGCACATTTTAATATCATTCAGTTTACTTCCAGTGGCTGCATACACCTCTAGGCTTGTTGCTACAGCTTTTCTTCTCATCCCTGTTTGTGTTTCTACAAGTGCAGATCGACCTCATACCCCATCTTACCTTAAGGAGATTTGTCAAGTAGTTCTTCAGAAATTCTTTTAGCCGTTTGTACAATTCCAAGCCAACAAACTGAGCACCTCCAGGTGTCTGGCCCTTTTTTGATTTAGAAGGAGGTACTCCAGCTCCCCGTGCTTGATTAGACTGGTGTACACTGGTACAGTAGTTATAAACATGACTGACAGGGAAGTTAAGGAATACATTTGCCACCGGAAGACATTAAAAATACAAATAAAAACAATATTAATTTCAGTAAGCTATTATTTATACAACTGTGAATGACTTAAACATAATGCATTGCAAGATACATCAAATAAAGCCATAGCTAAGAAAATTAAGTAATTTTCAGCTGAATTATCTGCAGCAAAATTTTGTCAGACTGCTGAGGGCACTGCAAACACTGAACCCAACATTAAATTAATTTAATTATTACTTAACAAGATCACCAAGAAAACAAAGCAGTGGAATCTGCTGGTAAGATTATATAAATGGAGTTCATTTGATCTACTGTATTTGTCTTCTACAAATCTATTAGCTTTCATTTGAACGGAAAGAAATTTCAATACTAGCCTCAAGCAACATTCATTAATTGAAAACACAAGAGAATATTTTTGCATTCTTTCAAACACCATCCTCCATAAAAGATTAGGCCACTTAAGATTGGCACACTAGACGAACCTGGAAAGCAGTAATGGTGAGACACACAAAAATGTAAATGCACACCGTAAGATGAGATTCACTAAAACCCAATTGTAGGGTACAAGTTAATACTAAAATTTCAGTGTAAAATCAGAGTCACAGAATTGTTTAGATAAGACTTCTAAGATGAGTCCTATCATTAATATACCACCATCAAGTCCACCATTAAACCATCTCCCTAATCACCATATCTAAGGGTCTTTAAAATACCTTCAGAGACACTGATTTCACCACCTACCTGGGCATATCATTCCAATGAAGGACAATGCTTTACAGTAAAGAAAGTGCTCCAAATGGCCAACCTACATCTCTGATACAGGTTAGGGTCATTTCCTCTTGTCTTGTTGCATATTACATGGGAGAAGGGGATGACCTTCAACTGACTACAGTCTTCTTTCAGGTAGCTGTAGAGAACAATGAGGTCCCCCTGAGCCTCCTTTTCTCCAGGCTAAACATCCCCTTCTCATTTCACAGCCTCTCCTCATCACCCTTGTGCTCCAGACCCTTCACCAGCTCTATTGCTGTTATCTGGACACACTCCAGCACCTCAGTGTCTTTCCTGTGAGAAGCCCAGAACTGGACATAGGATTCAAGGTGCTGAGTATAGTGGGACCATCACTGCCCTTGTCCTGCTGGCCACACTATTGCTGATAGAGGCCAGGATGTCATTTGCCTTTTTGGCCATCTGGGCACACACACTGACTCATGTTCCGACAGCTGCCAAACAGCAACCCCAGATCCTTTTCCATGGGGCACCTTTCCAGCCACTCTTCCCCAACCTGCAGCACCGCCTGGGGTTGTTGTGGTTGAAGTGCAGGACCCAGCATTTCGCCTTGCTGAACCTCATACCATGGGCCTCAGCTTACTGGTCCAGTCTCTTTGGACTCCTCTGAAGAGTCTACCCACACTCCTTCACATCAGCACTCTCACCCTACTCAGTGTCCTCTGCCAAATCACTGATCGTGCACTTGATCCTCTTGTCTCAGACATTGCTGAAGAGATCAAACAGAACTGGCTCCGGCACCGAGCCCTGGGGAAGAGGGCTTTTGACAGGCTGCCTGCTTGCTGCCTGTGCTTCATGCATTCATACAGATGCATTTGGCTGGGCTGTTGATCCCACCACTTTTTTTTTTGGCTAGAAGCCCTAATTCCCATGTTACAAGGTAATTCTGTGGTTTCTAAACACGGTGACCCTTTTTTCTTTGCTGCCACGGATCTCTATCGCCTACCTCCACTGAGATATCAGATTAAAGGACCTAAATGACTAGCACATCATCTCTCAAACATTGCTTAAAGTTTTCTCTAGAAGTCTTGGTAACTCTGGTATCTGCAAAGATACTTTTCCCTGAGACAGGTGTACCCTTCTGACACCAGCAGGTCTGGTATCACATAAACCCAGCCCTGATTTAAAAAAAAAAATTCTGCCAATGACACCAGGCTCAGAGTCAAGTACTGATATGCCAGCTCTTCCTGTTTCTTCCTTCATCATTCCTTGCAACTGGAAAGAGAAAGGTGAAAATTACTTCAACTTCTGATCTCTTAACCAGTCATCCCAAGTCCCTGAAGTGTCTCTTGATTACCTTTAGAGTCTTTGTTGCAACTTCACCGCTGCCTACCTGAAAAATTTGAGAACTGTCCCAGGGTAGGAAGTATGCTCTTTACATCGTTAAGCCAGGTATCAGAGAAGCATCAGACGTCCCTAGCAAGTGGCAGCAATATTTTTTCCTCTTATACTACTACAGCTTGGAAGACTTGCTGTAACTGTTAATGTAGCATTTCAAGAACACATTCCGTTTTCTGATCTAAAAAACTCAAATATTCAGAGTTCTTCCAAAGTAGTAAGGAGAAGTCACATTGCCCCAAACACCTCAAATAAGAAGGCATCCTTAAAGAAGCTGCATTTCACAAGCAAGAAAAATAAACTAGCTCGGTACCACCCAAACTGAACTGGATAAGGACTCAGATCTGACAACAAAAATCACCCAAATGACTCACACAAACAACAATCAGCCAACAGGAATGACGTTACTGAGCACTCACTCTTCTACTGACAGTCCAAGGACAAGCTTTTGAGTCACACTCCTTGTTAGAAAACACTGTACTAACCAATCCAGAAGGTTTAATTTGGCTTCGTGTTTTCACAGAATATCAGTGTTGACAGAGACCTTCAAGATGATCGAGTCCAACCCATGCCCTAACACTTCAACTAAACCATGGCACTGAGTGCCATATTCAGTCTTTTTTTAAACACATGCAGGGATGGTGACACCACAACCTCCCCAGGCAGACCATTCCAGTATACTTTATCACACGACACAAGTGGACTCAGATTTAACCACTAGACAGGTTTTCTCCATAGCACACCATAAATTAGGAAATTAATACATTGCAGAGGCTTGACTTTTATCTTTCCCTTCACAAAGTCCAGCACAATAAAATAGGAAGTCATCAGCACAAATAAATACCAAGAGAATTATAAACCACAAATATATGATGCATTACAATCATTATAAACAGATTTGTTTCTAAGTAGTAAAGCTCAGTTAACTTCCTTGCAATCAATTTTATCAAAATCTTCATAGACAAAACATACCCTTAAATAGGGTTTAATGATCAGAGTACCCTGCATGCCACCAGGAGAAAGGCTCAGGGTCTTCACTGCAAACTGCAAAGAAAGCCTACTCACAGTCTATATTTACACACTTGTTCAGAAAGTCATTGCATTCTGTGCAAAGAAGTAATGCTCTTCACCTAAGATTAACCCTTTTTAAAAATGCACAGTGTACATTTATTTCTTATTTGTTACCTCATCCAGATGCCAAATAACTACATTTCCCACTATGTCAACCAATAACAGCCTTCGTTTGCATTGAATTGAAGCAATTGAACTTTTAATCAGCCTCTTACCTCTATCAGCCACTGATTTCCTGGCCATTAATGATTTCTTACACCTCATAGTCATTTGTTTGTTCAAATTCCCTGGCACTGTTGCTACTTTTACTACGTACACTTTGATTTCAGAATTCCCTGTTCAAGTGAAGAACACCACAAAGCACAACTGTTTTCCTCTAGATATGCAACTTACTTTCTTGCCACAAACAAGAAAAGCAGGTTTACCCCACAGGTTAATTTTGAAATAGCTAATATATAAATTTCTCTAAATTGTTTATGGAAAATTTCTCCATGATACTAGGAATTTAGGGCCGATTCATAAATATCCCCTTGACAGTCTTGCCTCCTTTTTCCCCAAACTCTTATCCCAAGTGGTTTTGAGAAAGCCTGAAAATATGAAGCCTGTCCAGATGAAGGTTAATTCTTGTAGTTTTGAGAGCATTGCCTGACAAAGACATTCAATTCATCTCTACAAAAAACCACTACAGCCTTCAGAAAAATAAAAGTCCAAGATTAGAAGACAAAAGCTTTTTTTGTAACCTATACATTTTACTACTAAACCCAAGATCCTTTGTAAACACAGAGACTGAGACCCCTTGTCCATACCTGATGTAATCACCTCAGAGCTGCAACCAAAGTAATTCCAGTAATGCTCATCTTTGTCTTTTATTCTGGCTTGAGATTTGCTAGCCAAAGAGTCCAAGACAGCACTTTTGAAGTGCTCTAGTTTCATGGTTCCACACAAGTCAAACTGAAGTTAGTTTGCCTATGTAGAGGCAATTTGCAAGTGTAACTCTTTGACATATTCTACATAAAGCATGCTCTCTCACACTGTTTACAATCTGTCCCGTCATCTGCTAGAGCCAGCCACTGACAGAAAGACTGACATACTCAAAACAAAATCATAGTTTTACTTCTACAACAAAGTGTATGACAGTCCATCTGAGAATCACAAGGGGAATGCTATGAAAAGAATTCTTAGTTGCAGAAGGCAAAATAAATCCCCCAATGCTTTGTATGCTGGAAGCTACATACATATGCAAACAGCTACCAGGAAACATTTTTGGGGGCATTTGCACAATTCTTTATAGCAATGTGCATAGCACAACAAGCAGACAAGTTAATTCATCAATAGAAAAGTTTGAACCACAGTGAAGCCGTGCTGATCCCCAAGCTTCAGGCAGCTGAACTTCAGATTTGGCCAAGCAGATAAATTATCTACAGGAGAAACAGAACAATCTCCTCTAACCTCTACACCTTCCCTACAGTGAAGGAGAAATTTAATTTACTGTATAAATAAATTTGAGGTAGAAAACTGCAAGAAAATTTGTAGAATAATTCAGTATTGTGCTGTTCAAGATGAAAAATCCTTTTCAGAACTTTATTCTCCTTCAAAACAAAAAGTAGCAAAAGACAAGTTAATTTTACCACCTCTGTCATCAATATAATTTACATTACTTTTGACAGCCTTGGCTCAGTTTCTAAAGATGGGCAACAGAAAAAAAAAACCAAACCACCTCATCCCGTGCTGCCACACCCTAATGGCCTCCTATAAAATCACTTCCCCTGAAGGAAATGGTCCTAATA